CCCCCAACCATCTGAATAGACCCCTCCTCTCAGCAAAGGGCATTCCAAACTTAACCTGAAAAACTAGTTTGGGCCATAATGGGAAGGGAGGGTTGGACATACCACATTAAGCCCTCTTCCCATTTGGAATTACTGATAGAACAGACTCTTTAAGTCTGATAAGAATCATTTACAATCTAGTCTATCTCTGGAGCCCGCTACCTGGAGGCTTCTCCTACATGATAAAACCTTGGTCTCCACAACCCCTTCTCTTAACCCAGACATTCCTAAGTCTGTAGTCAATAACCTAACTCTTTCAACCAACTCCCAATCAGAAAATCTTTGAATCTAACTATGGCTACCTGCTTCCAGTTGTGCCACCTTTCTGAACTGAACCATTGTGCATCTTACGTGTATTGATTGATAGCTTATGTTTCCCTAAAATGTATAAAACCAAGTTGTGGCCTGACCACCTTGGACATGTTCTCAGAATCTCCTCAGGGCTGTATCTCAGACCATTGGTCACTCGTATTTGGCTCAGAATAAATATCTTCAAATATTTTACAGAGTTTGACTCTTTTAGTCGACAAGGGTATTTCTAGCTGTCTAAGTCTGTGACTGGAAGGCATGTCTCTGCCCTCAAAGAAAAATCGAAAGACCAGATTTACAGATGGCAAACAGCTGGGGAACAATTCTAGGCAGTACAGATGCCAGGAGTGAGAGGATTACGCAGACTCATTGTTTCAAGCACAGTATGTTTTGTTCAGCGTAAGTGAGGAAGGCTTTATGGGAAAGGTAAAATGCAGTCAGGTCTCTTAACTCGGTATTTTCTTCTTCAGAGAGATGTGGCAAATGTGAGCAGCCCCTTTAGACTCCTGGAAGGGGCCTCAGAGAGCCCAGGGCTGGAGGAAGGCCAGCAGCGTCCCTCAGTGGAGGAGAATGCCAGGTCTCAGGCGAATATTTTCACTTAGTTGGTCTTTAGCTTAGTTCTACCCACCCTGTCTCTCTTCCCCTCTTGTCAAAAATTTTCTACTATCTTTCACACGCAACCATCTGCTCTGCCCATGGCAAAAAACTGCCCATTTGTGGAGCCATCCGATGGGCTCTTCCTGCCTACTGCATAGAAAAAAAAACAATTCACTGAGACCACAGCATTGCAGTAAAGTGTTCAATGACCAGAAGCCTGGCCAGACCATGTGGGAGACAGAGTTATTCCTCAAATCCATCCCCCTGAAAATTCAGAGGCTAGGGTTTTTCAAAGACAGTTTGGCGGGCCAGGGAGTCTTCTTCTAGGTGGGGCCACAGGATGGCTCAGCAGGGTCAGGGTCAGGGTCAGGTTCAGCGGGTTCCGGTGCAGCCACGGGTTGTCAGAAACACAAAAAGCTGAAAAGACATCTCAAAAGGCCAGTCTCAGGTTCTATAATAGTAACGTTATCTGCAGGAGTAATTGGAAGAGTTGCAAATCTTAGGACCTCCCGAACAATGGCTGGCAATCCTTTATGTCTACACCTTAGCAGAATTCAGGGTGCTTTCATCCTGGTAACCTAGTAACCTGGTGGACTTTCATTAGCTTTACAAAGGCGATTTAGTTTTGGGGAGGGCTATTATCATTTAAACAATAAACTAAATTTCTCCCAAAGTTTGCTTGGTCCAAGCCCAGGAATGATTAAGGGTAGTTTGGAGATTACAGGCAAGATGGGGGTTGATTAGATCAAATCTCTTTTGCTGTCATAATTTTCTCACTGTTACAATTTTTGCAAAGGCAGTTTCATTTGTAGTTACTTTACCATTTAAAATCAATTTTTAGTTTACAGTTTCCTTAGAGATCACTGGTGAAACAATAGGTCAGGGGCTGGAAGAACAGGGAGCTGGATGAAGGGAGGGTGGGCAGGATGGGGAAGGGACATGGCGCTAGTCCCCAGAGCCTTCTCCCCTCCTCAGCCCTTCTGCTCCAGGCCTTTCCTCTCTCCCAAGCCTCTCCATTTCATAGACATAGATGGTTATGCCTGTGAACCACCCACATCCTCACAGTGTGTTTTTATAGCATCACTGTTTAATTTTGGGGAAATGGACCCCTCTGGTTCTCTCTAAACGTGAGCTCTGAGCTATTGATCTCTTGGTGTTTGTTCCTGTTTTGTGTCAATAATTGAAATAAATTATGTTATTTTTGGACCATCAAGTCCCTTAAATTATAGTGGGTGTGTGTCCATGTGCACTTTTAACTATATAGCTATATATATATATATACACACACACACACACACACACATATATATTCATGTATGTGTGTTTTGATAAGCAAGTAAATTAAAAGAGTTAGACGGCTCTGACTGACTCTGTTAATGGAAAGCACATATGAAGCTTCAGACTGAGTTGTCTGAGATGGCAAACACTGAGTTAAACTGAACATCTCCTTGAGTTTAAATTTAGAGAGAGGTTTGTTCACCTAATTGGAGTAGGCAGCAGTTCTTTCAGTCAGCAAATCTGAGTGGTGTTAGTTGACTCTGTTGGTAATCTACATTGGACAAGCAGAAGATGATGCCAAAGATAAAGATGACATTTCCAGCCTGGACTTGTCAGGTGGGTGCCCAGTGACCACTACCGATAGAGAGTTAGTAGTTGGGGAATTCAGAGGAGGGTGAATATTTAAGGAGGTGACGTGAGTTGACTTACAGAACTCATCAGTACAAGCACAAGGTTTGTTGAGCACTTACTAGGTGTCAAGCACCATGCTAAGTGCTGTGCATCCATGTTACTGAATCCACACAAAAGCCTCATGAATAAGGCTGTGTTACAGGAAAGGATCCTGATCCAGACCCCAAGAGAAGGTTCTTGGATCTCACGCAAGAAAGAATTCAGAGTGAGTCCATAAAGTGAAAGCAAGTTTATCAAGAAAACAGAGGAATAAAAGAATGGCTACTCCATAGACAGTTGCCCATTTTTATGGTTATTTCTTGATGATATGATAAACAAGGGGTGGATCATTCATGCCTCCCCTTTTTAGACCATATAGGGTAACTTCCTGACCTTGCCAAGGCATTTGTAAACAGTCACGGTGCTGGTGGAGTGTAGCAGTGAGGGCGACCAGAGGTCACTCTCATCACCATCTTGGTCTTGGTGGATTTTGGCCGGCCTCTTTACTGCCAACTGTTTTATCAGCAAGGTCATTATGACCTGTATCTTGTCTTGACCTCCTCTCTCATCCTGTTACTTAGAATGGCTTAAGCATCTGGGAATGTGGCCCAGTAGGTCTCAGCCTCATTTTCCCCAGCCCCTATTGAAGATGGAGTTGCTCTGGTTCAAAAGCCTCTGACAATTGCTGTTGTCAGAGGAAACCAGGGAACAGAGTCGGGGAAGTCGGGTGATATGCTCAGGTGTCACAGCTAGTCAGTGTGGGGCTGTGATTAGATCCCCAGTGATCCTATTCCAGAGCCTGCACTCTTAGCACCCACAAAAGATGCTCCCCAAATCATGGAGAAGTGGAAAATTCTTTCTAGGTCAAGGGAATAATGTGAACAAAGGCAGGAATGTGTAGTATCCTCTTTATCTGGCTATATTCTACTGGTTCTCCTATAATCAATATTGACATTAGCTAGAAATTCAGCCTCCTCCCCTTTTTGTCCTCCTGTATCCCATCTCTGTTTAAAATCGTATCTCTTTACTCCATCCAGAATTTTACCATTAGGGGCAACTCAAGCCTGTCGGGCAACCTGGACCCGACAAAGCACATCAGGCGTATCTATTCCATCTGTTAAATTCCTCTGGTTTTCTAGCTTTTAACCTGAGCACACCACTTATCCTCTGCTCCTGAGAGCCTGGGAGCAAAGCGCCTGAACACAAGACCAGAACTTGTAACTCACAGAAGTCCAGAAATAGACTCAGTACACTGGAAAATACACACAGCATATGCACAGCAGTGCATACATGGCATTGTACTGTGTGCCTGAATTGTAGGTGTCTCCGCTGTCTTGAAACACGTAGCCTCACCAGATTTTCTGAGCCACAGGCCATGGACTTCGCTGTGAAATTAAGAATTGGCAAAATGTGAACAGCAGCTGGATATTTGACATTGTCATGGCAATATTGCTATACTTTTAGCTGTGATAATGGTATTAAGGACATTTTTTCTTTTAAAGGAGTCCAGGCTAGGCACTGTGGCTCACACCTGTAATCCCAGCACTTTGGAGGGCTGAGGCAGGTAGACCACCTGAGGTCAGGAGTTCGAGAACAGCTGGCCAACATGGTGAGACCCTGTCTCTACTAAAAACACAAAAAAACCAGCCAGGTGTGGTGGTGGGCATCTGTGGTCCCAGCTACTCGGGAGGCTGAGGCAGGAGAATGGCGTGAACCCAGGAGGTGGAGCTTGCAGTGAGTGGAGATTGCACCACTGCACTACAGCCTGGGCGACAGAGCAAGACTCCATTTCAAAAAAAAAGTAAAAATTAGCTGGGCATGGTTGTGCACACCTGTAATCCCAGCTCCTTGGGAGGCTGAGGCAGGAGAATCACTTGAACCTGGGAGGCACAGGTTGCAGTGAGCCGAGATTACGCCACTGCGCTCCCATCTGGGTGACAGAGTGACACTCTGGCTCAAAAAAAAAATTACTAATCTTTTAGAGGTTCATATAAAAATAATTTAGTGTTGGGGACGTCGGGGAGGGAGAAGGGTGGGGGAATGGATGAAACAAAATTCAGGCTCATAATCAGTAGATGTTGAATCTGGGTGAAGGCAACACAGGAATTTATACTATTTTCTCTACCTTTTTATGTATGTGACATTTTCCATAATAAAATATGTTTTAAAAAAACATCAGATCTGATTGAAGGAGAAATCAGAGTGGGGCAAAGATATCCTTCAGAAGCTACAGTGTGGGCACCTGCAGAAGAGCTTTTTTTTCCCCCCACAAAAGACCCAAAGACACTTTAAGCTCCTTGGCAAGTGAAGGGCCTTTGATTCTAGCAATTTGTTGAAAATCATCTCCACTATGAGACAAAGTCAGAACAATTATCCACAGCCTGAGATGTGTCCACGTTTACACATTTATTTGGGTTTAGAGAGACAACACAGATAAAATACTTGGATCATACACAAGTTTATATTTGGTAGGAAGAACAGGTTGCCACGTGTTTGTATATTTTATGTTTTTATTTTTTTCTGTCTTTAGTAATGGAGTAATGTTGGGGGAATGTCGATGTCATTCAGAAACACCAATTTGGGAACGGTAGCTTGGCACACCTAACTAATAAATACACAGTGTTTGCATTTAGCATTTGAGAACAGAAGAGCACGTGCAAAATGATACCCAGTTTGAGGTTCCTCGTCCTGCTACTATATTTACACCTGTGCCTTCTTTGTCCATATTCTGAAGATTAGCAACTACTCCAGTGCCCAGCAGAGCCAACACCTACGATTTTGGCAGCTGGTGACACTCCACAATTGGTAACGTCTGTTCTCAGAGACATAGTGGTGTTCACCTTGCATTTTGTGAAGTTGCACAATTCTCAAAGGAAGTTTCTCAGTAGGGGGCTTAGCTGAGGGCATGTTCTCTATTAGAGCCGATGTGGAGGGCATATAGTTAGCGGGGAGAGAGGGAAGAGAGAGACAGAGAGAGAGAGAGAACAGGAACAGATGCAAATGTAGTTTTCATAATATCAAAGTTCAATACAGCTACCACACAGAAAAAGACATATCAATAATATATTGTACGAGCTTTTACAGGAACACATGTTGATTTGCAACACTGTACAGTTCAGATCTAAAGTGCACAACCCCAATCTGAGGTGACAAGACAGTATTATCAAGATAATAAAGGCAACACAGTCAGACAGAATTGATTTCCTTTTCTTTCCTCACATCCTGTGACGGTATATAAAGTCCATACCATGCATAGGTCTCAGATAAAGACATATCACACTTGTTTGTTCAAGTATTTTAAATGATAAACACAATATTGCTGTATAAATGAAAATGGCCATGCCAGTTCTGATTAAAGCTAAAACCAAACTTTTCTAAGACTTGTAAAGAATGGGCCCACATAAAGACCATGGCACTGGGAACTTGGGCTAATATTCAAAATAATCTCCCCTCTTCCCTCCCTCCCTCCCTCCCTTCCACCCTCCCTCCCTCCATCCCTTCCTTCCTTCATTTCCTTCCTTCCTTCCTCTTTCCTTCCTTCCTCTTTCCTTCCTTCCTTCCTCTTTCCTTCCTTCCTTCTGCCCTTTCTCCCTCCCTCCCTCCCTTCCTCCTTCCCTCTCTTTTGACCTGATTACACATCTCCTTTCAAGATGATTTATTAAACTACTGGGACCTACTAGGCTTTTATTTGCTTTCTTCTTTGGGCTACAGTTGGCAAGGATTTCCCTGCACAGGCCTGAGCAAGGTTCTCGGCCAATTTGAAGGAGTACTGGGAAGGGGTAGGGGAGTGGGGAAGAAGAGCTATTGTTTTTGCTAGAATTGTTTTGCTGGAATTTCATACATAGGCACAAATTCTCCTTTAAAATTTTACTATCTCATTAACCTAAAAAGCAGCAGCAGCAGTTCACAATCTAGGATCTGTAACCCAAAAGATAAAGCATCCTGGAGTAGAGCAGGGTTGGTTCACTAGGGCATTGGGCCGCACTGTCTTCTCCAAGAAGGACAGCAGGTTGGATCAATTAGCATCTCTGTCTCTGAAGTGGAACCTTTGGGCCTGAGGCTCCAGACAGTCGGGCAGCTATGTGCTTATTCTCAGCAGGCCAGGCAGTTTTGAGAAAGCAAAGGGATGTTTGGCCATTAGACAAAGCCTAGAATGGAAGGTTATTCCTTCATGAAATTCTGTGGCACAGAAGAGTTTACTTCTAATTGTCATAGTGAACCCATTTGCTTTCTAGACAGAAAAGGCCTAAAGCTGTGTTCATATCAAGTTATCACTGTTTTTGCATATAACCTAGGAGAAATAATGTAGGGGGAAGCTTATGAAAATTTCAGATGGCTAGATCCTGTGGTTATATTATAGGGCATTTCTATATGTTATATTGTAGGGCATTTCTACCTGTTGAAGGGCAGGGTCTTCTCTCTTCCCTTGTATACCTGTAGTCTGAGTATTGAACTGCCTGGTCCATTCAGAAATGGAGAATGTTCCTAAATTTGCATTTGCAGTCTGCATATGAATCTACTGTTCTCCTATCAGCACTTGGAATCCGACGACGTGTGACCCCATAAATATCTATGGAAGCCTTTGTTAGCTCAGGTTTTTCTATCAGGTTCACAGGGAAAGAAGGATGTTTTAAAAATACTATTTTGAATTCTAAGAATCTTGTTATTTCTGCATATTCTGGTCACTTTGGATCTTGATGGGAGATGGATAAAGGAAAATCTTAAGATAATGCCTCAAAATCTAGGGTGAGAGGCTGCTCATTTCATGGGTGAGAAACAATCACCCATGGAATATAAATTATTTATTTTGGGTCCCAGTGGTAGGCAGTCTGGTGGGAGAGACTTTGTGGGGAGGAACGGGGAGGGGATGAAAATGCGCAGCTGTCCTGAAGGTAAATTTCTCTTTCCTGGACAGTGGCAATATGGCGCCAGGATGATGTCATTATTGTCCCACAGAGATCTCTTCTCCCAAGGCCAACTTTAATTTTCTGGGCTCACCACATTCTGGGAGTGTGCTTCATTCCTCTTTGCTCAGGCTGATTAGGTTTTATTTTTATTTTCTCTAATTAATTCAAATGACCTAATAAAAGAATACTATTTGGAAGATGCCTCAAGAACGAGCATCAACCTTCTGTTCAAAACAGGCCGAATTGGAAAGCAGAATAGAGACAATTACCCTAATTTAATCTGAGATGAAGCTTGGCTTGTCACACTTGCAGAGTGAGTCCGCTAAGAGTAAAAAGGGTGGAAAACTTCAAGGGGAAGAGAATCTTATTGCCAATGGGATCAATTATTTTAAAGAACTTGCAGTATTCTTTTGTGTTTGTCTTGAAATACTAACTTTAGAGATGTGATAAGCCATAACATGTATAGAAAGAAGGAATAATACCTTTTAAGAATTTTGTGGGTCAGTGTTTCAAAATAACTTCGCTAAGTGTTTTACTGTGCCTCCATTAAGAGAAAGGAAAAAAAATCTGGCTTAGTTTTTATATCTGCCCCTGCAGTTTGTACAACCCATATAAAATAAAAATCTATATGTTACAAAATAGGATATCTTTTTTAATATATATATTTTCCTTTTGTAAAATTATATGTATTTAAATACATTTGAAATGTTGCTATAGGTAAATTAGAAATTTTTTTCTAATACTATGAAAAAGGCAAGAGTTTTTATTGTCAACATACATTTTATATTTACTTTATCCTTTTCACTGCACCCCAAAGAACCTTTTATGATTCAGGGGCAATTTGGCACTATTCAGTCCTACTAGTCTGAAGTGAAAATAAAGTTTGCTTTGCATACTATATTAAAATTAAGGGAAGTATTTATAACAATTTTAAGCTTTTCCTGATTGATTAGAACATAGCCTTTTGTCACTAATTCTTAGAGAGGTATTCTAAACTTAAGAAAGGACTTTTAAAAGGAGCAATGTCTTTTTTTGTTTAATTTTTAAACTCTACTCTACTTTGACACCACAATATAGAAATAGATTTACTTTGGAACAAACTACAAATACATTCACACAGTTTGTGACAACTTAATTGTCTACCTAGAGAAGTGGAACAGCTTGGTGAGCAAGGTTATTATAAATCTTGTCCAAGACGTTCTATTTCTTCAATCAGGAAGTCGATGTCTTGGTGAGTTGCTGCAGGGTTTGAGATGACCATGCGGAAGAAATTGACCTTGTCTCCCAAGGGTTGGTAGCTGACCATTGTTGTTCCATACTCCATCATTCTGGCCTTAATCACTGGAGCCACCTGTGGGACAGACCATATCAGCATGGTGACTTTCTCCTGGGACTCTCCCCTGAGTCAAAGAACCCAACAGCAAGCAGTGTCTTTAGTTTTTAGCTCAACAGTCAGAACCTTACTTGTTTTCTCTTGAAAGAGTTACCTCCAAGTTTTCTTGGGATCAGAGAACTAGAACAGTTTAACACATTCAAGATCCTGCAGGTGATAAGAGGAATAAGTGATAGACTATCAGGTGGTGCCTGTCACCTTGTCCTTGACTTTCCAGTTAGTGTTTTGGGAGGACGAGATGAATCTAGCATTGGCCACAGGCTAAATGGGTTAGCAAGACTTTTGGGGGTGTTTTCCCGCCACAGTAAATTTAAAAACATTGGAAATAAAACAGTTCAGAGGATTGTTACCAAAATGTAAGTTTCAGTATCAGGTGATATATGAAAATAAGCAGACTTTTGGCAACTTTCTTGAAACCCTAGAGCTTTCTAGTTTCTTTTCGTTCTCTTTTTGCAGTGCCTCACTTTGTAAGATATATTGAAAGATAATCCTTAATAATGATAATGAATTAGCTGGGACAAAAAGCTGAACCCACAAGGACTTAACATATGTTGCATATCACAGACAGGATAGCATACCACAGACAAGATTATACTCTATTTATGTCAGATTGTTGATTATAGCCTCAGATAGTTCTCTATTGTGTATGAAATTAAGTTTAAACTCTAGTTCAGTTCAGAGACCTTTCATCATCCATTTCTGAGGCCTCATCTTCCACCGTTCACCAAAATGAATCTTCAACTCTGACAAGGCTCCTTTATTAAATATCCCTTGAATTTACTATATGTATTTTTGTCCCTTCACACTTGTCATCAGTGTTACTATGTCATACTTGTTCTCTGTGCTGAGAATCCATCCCTTTTCTCTTCTGGTTCATATCCTACACACACTTCAAGATTCCACCACAGTCCTAGAACTGCTATGAAGCCTTTCCTGACTTCTAGTGTCCATCAGTAGCTCTCTTCCTTTAAGCTGTAAACATATGATCCATGATCCTTCCCCATAGATTCTGACTATATGCTAATTTCCTACTATCCTCTTACTTCTGAGCAAATACATTTTCTTTCTCTACCTCAACTGTCAGGTCCTGGAGGGCAAACACAGCGTCTTCTACTCTGTTTGTTGTTGTTGTTTACCAGCACAGTGCTTGGTACGTGTTGGGGGAGTCCTAAATTCTTATTGCTATAAAGAGTAGCATAATAGAAACAGCTATCTAGGAAGAGGCAAAAACTTAAATCATGTCTAACCGTACATACAATCTATCCATATATTTATCACTGGAGTTTGTAAATATATAATATCTGATCTTCATTGCTGCAAATGGTAGATAGACATCAGAGAAACCTTTAGACTTATTTGAGTTTCATGTGGTCAGAAACTCAGCTCAAAATGGAGACCATGCCTTCTATCATAGCTGGATTTATCTTAAATGGACAGTTCAATTCAACTGGAATGCTGTTATGAACATGTGACTTATAAATATCAACTCTTAATTAATCATTGGTTTGTAATGAAGTTTTCATCTTCAAAGTATCCAATGCATAAAATCAGCAACGTTCCCATTGGGTCCAATCATTTGTTAGTTACCAAAGACAAAGTCAACAGATAGACTTCACCTTCACTTCTCATTCCGAACCTAATTTCCTTATCTAAAAACGAATGTGGATGATGATTCCAGCATTGAGATCTTCTGACTCTAGGTTGAGTTCTTATATCCCTTCCCACCCCTTGTTCCATGGGGAGGAATGTTTCTCTTGGACTGATCCTTCTTTCACCTAAAGCATTAAGAATGTATGCAGAGCACTGGGCACATCCCAGGGAATAAATAAGAAGAATTTAAATATCTCAAGTCTGGGATTAACTTCTGAAAATAGATCTACTAGAATATTCCAGCCAAAGGGGCATGAAATTTATCCTTTGTGTTGTGAGGCATGTCAACTCAATATGGTTCCTGCGAAGATAAATCTCAAATTAGAAAAGGAATTCCAAATCCACTTGGCTGCAGGAATCTAAGGACAAGTCACATAACTATTCCTTAGTTTCATTTGTGTAATAAATCATGCTTGCTCTTTAGAAGTGATAAAATAATGACAGAGCTTTACTAAGTGAATTAAAGTCTCATTTAGTTTTCATGGGCAATCCAAGCAACGATACAGAAGAATGGCACTAATTATTAAGGACAATCATCTCTAGCTTTTCAGATGAATGTGAATCAAAGGTTAAAAGATTAATGCTAACAGCCACAAGCAAACAGATTTTGGCATAAAGTAAGACTGAATCCCCTCAGTTCCTGAAGCAAGCTGAATTGGCAGAAATCACAGCTGTCTAAACACATATGACTTTTGGTTGCTTCCAGAAAATGTGGATGAACTAAAATTAGCTGGAACATGAACTTCTACTTCGTGGTATATTCACTCATTGCAAGTGAAGAAGGAAAATAAGATTCGGACTATTCTGATGAATATATGTGATCTGTGAGGCCAAAATAGACATTCCTGTATCAACTAAGATGGGTCCAGGGTTCAGGGCCTGGCTGGGGGGCAAATTACTAAATTCCTAATGATTGAAATTCCCTAACAATAGGTGCTATGAGACCCCCTCCTCACCCTGATTTACTACGCAGACCACCATAACTCTGACTGGACAGAAGACTGACCTTACACACATTCTTTCCTGGTAAGCAACGGCAGACCTTAAGCCAGTTTGAGCAGCTTATAGACGTGGTGCACAAGCTGTGTTTACGTCCTACAGTTCACCTTTTGACATAAAGAGTCAAATTCTACCTCATTTTAACACTAAAACCCTGCCCTGAAGTGAACATGGGATGTATGCTACATATATGTTTACTCATTCTGCATGTGCTCAGCTCCCCCCATAAATATGGATACCTTTTCCCCAAAACCTACTGAATATGTCCGACTCTACTGTGTGATACAGGCCCTGTGAGGCATAAAACTCAACCTGCCCTTCCCCTCTTGGAAGAAAGGGCACCTTCCGCACATGCTGCAGGCTGTCTCTTCCTGGTTTGCAAACTGGTATCACCAATAAAGCTCTCCTTTCTACTATTTAGCCATCCCGGTGGTCTTTTGGATGAAATACATAGAGATTTCACTTATTTCTACGCTTTTGTATTTTTTGGTTGTATTCTTAGTTTTCCTAAACGAAGAACGCGAGTTGAGAAAGAGTGGTTGCACGTTGAAGAATTCACTAAAGGTGTAGTCAACAAGAGCTCTTTGGGGCTGCCTTAAGAATTTTAGGGTGTTGTCTTCTCTCTTGTGCCGTTAGCTTTTTTAGTCCTTTAGAAAGCAGTAACTAGGGGACTCTTCCATAATTGGAATCCACATTTGTCTCTTTCAAAGAGGGTGCATAGTAAAGCATCATGAAATAAACTTAAAAGATATCACAGAAATGTATTTTTCACGATGTCTTAGAAAACTTTTTTGTTTTTACATTTTGGAAGACTGCAAGAAATTTTTGAAAAATGTAAAAGCAGAATAATTAAATGAGAAATTCTAAACTATTGGCTAGGCTTGGTGACTCATGCCTGTAATCCCAGCACTTTGGGAGGCTAAGGTGAGTGGATCACTTGAGGTCAGGCTTTTGAGACCAGCCTGGCCAACATGGTAAAACCCCGTCCCAACCCCGTCCTGACCAAAAAATATGAAAATTAGCTGGGTGTGGTGGTGTGCGCCTGTGATCCCAGCTACTCTGCAGGCTGAGGTGGGAGAATCTCTTGAACCTGAGAGATGGAGTTTGTAGTGAGCCCAGATGGCACCACTGTACTCCAGCCTGGGCAACAGAGTGAGACCCTGTCTTAAAAACAAAACAAAAAAATTCTAAAATACTAAAATTTCACCAATTAAATCCTCTATTGCACATAATAACACAGACTTTCAAAGAGTCTGTGTTAAATATAAGGCCAGGCTGCTTCCTTACAAATTTAGTATTAAATCCACTGCTAACCTTTTAAAAGTCCACCAATCAGTGTAGGACTATAAAAGCTGACAGAACCAGATAGTGATCAACAATAACAAAAATTAAAATAAGAAGATGAAGAACCAGAAACACAAGAAGTTATCAATAGACCAGCCCTTTTGATTCTTGTTTGGTAAACATTGGCACAGCCTACTTGCGTCCCTCCCTGTGTCTAAAGCATGTGTGCGGTGTCACATCCCCATAATGCTCCAAGCATTCATCGTCTACACTGCCTCAGCGACACAGCGCCATCTGCAAGATCATAGTCCTGACAGGGCAGGAAGCACACTGACTGGATTCTCGTGTTTACCACCCCCACGAAGGTATAACTGTGCTTGCTTTATTAATAACTTCTGTTATCCAGATATTTGTCCCCAAACTAGTGCACTCTGGAAAAAGGCTTATGAGCCACTGTTAGGTTTCCTAAATGTTGTTTCCCTTCCTTATTCTGGAATATGCCTAAGGTATTCGCTATAGACGGAATTTTTCTGTCCTCCCAAAATTTATATGTTGAAATCCTAACCCCACAATGTGATGATATTAGGAGGTGGGGCCTCTGGTAGGTGATTAGGTCAGGAAGGCACAGTCTTAGAGGCCCCAGAGAACTCCCTTGACCTCTTTCTGCCATGTGAGGATACAGGGAGGAAAAGGCCATTGATGAACCAGGAAGTAGGGGTTCCACCCAACACGGAATCTACAGGGACCTTGATCTTGGACTTCCCAGCCTCTAGAACAGTGCAAAATAAATTTCTGTGTTTATAAGCTACCCAGTCTATATTAGCCTGTTTTTGCAGCCCAACCAGACTAAGATACAATTTTAGCCTAACAAATGATTTTTGAGTTCCTACTGTGCACTACAGCTATGAATCAGGCAAGATGGTACAAAGAGTAATTCTCTGCCTTGTCTTGTCCAGAATTTAACTTTGTTCTTTTGGTTCCCATAAACTGCACAGGAAACTCCACATTTCCCCCATTTTGAGTCTATATCGGCATGGACCAAGAGAACTCTGTGCAGTGATCTCCATCATGTTCTATATCTGTGCTATCCCACAAAACAGCCATTGGTCACAAGCTGAGCAACTGAAATGTGGCTAGTGCGATTGAAGAACCATATTTTTAGTTGAATTTGAATTTAATTTTAATTGATTTAAATTTAAATATGAATAGCCACATGTGGCTATTACTACCATACTGGACAACAGATTATTTCACCTCAGTTCTTTTCCCTCTGGGACTGTGTGTGTGTGTGTGTGTGTGTGTGTGTGCATGTGCGCATGTGTATGAATATTTTACTGGTTCCTGGACATTATACTTTAAGGGCGTCACATTTAATAAAGAACTTTCCAGAAAGTCTGAAAAAAATCATTGGCATAGATGAACAAAAGTTAAACTTGGTATTCATGTGGTTCTATTCTCGTTTCCAAATCTGAATTGCTGAATTATCTTGATTACAATGATAAAAATGGAGAAAAATCAGGAGAATTCATTTTGCAATCCCCGGAGATTTCCGTATTTGAATTGTCAACAGTATAAAAACAGTTTACTAATATTCTAATTGCCATCTCCAGGAAACAATCTCCATCCCCATTCCTCACTACAGCTCATACGAGGTGCTGAAACCTAGGAGGCATTTAAAGAGTGATATATAAACAGGGGAGTCTCCGAGTTGATTTTTGTTCAGAAAATGATGAAAAAAATGTTTTTATTCTGTACTCCCATCTTGCTCCATCCCTCAGCCCAGTGATACTAGGCTGATTCAACAAATGAAATCAGCCAAACTAGTCTGTGGATTCTCTTTCTGGTCAGTCAGTTCAATAAGGAAGTGAAAGGCAAAAAGAATGGAGGCATCTAATTTCTAACTAACTGGTTAAATAAGTCATTGTTAAGAAATTTTACATTATGAAGGTATACCATAAAAATTCCAGGAAAAATATGAATTTTTTCCTCTTAAATGACAGCAGACACCTGCACCCCCATTCTCGTTGTTATTGCCTGCACCAATCGTCTTATCCAATGCGACCTCTACTCATTCCCTCCCACCTTGTGAGCTTGATTTCCCGGAATGAACCAACTTCACTAAATCATCAAACACAACCACACCCCCTTCCACCTCAGACACATGCGCCATAGATCCTGGTTCTAGAAGCTTTCTTCCATTTTTTCCTCTAGATCAGGGGTTCTCTAGCTGAACTGCACATTGGAATCATCTAGATAACTTTCAGTCATTCCCAGGCCCATCCAAGCACAATCTGATTACATTTTCAGGGTGAAACCTGGTCACTAGTGTCTTTCATAAAGTTTCTGGATGATTCTAATGTATGACCAGGATTGCGAATCACTACTCTAATTAGGAGGCTTGGTTTAAAGACCTCAGCCAAGTGGAAGTTTTCTCCTGATGAGAGTTTGATCCTGGGTTGCTTAAGGGCAGATGTTAACATGTAAAAGCTTCAGTGAAGGTTTCATATATACACAAAATCCTCTTCTTCATTTTACATAGAAGGAACTAAAGTGTTCCCAAAGGTCAATGAGGCAGCCCAAACTCCTGAGCAGTGAGGGGACAGCCTGCAGGGCTTTTGGCAGTGACTGGAGGAGGTTCCCTCTTTTATGATAAATGAAAAGAACCCCCAAACCAACCAAATCAACTCTGAGATCTAAGTCTACACAACCATCCCTAGTTTCGCATGGTGACAGGTCCTGCATATTCGCTTTGATGTGCATTGCAAGTCATATTTCATCCGTGTATAAGTGCTAGGAGCAGGAGAGGATGAAAGATAAAGGGTGTCTTACTGACCACAGTACAATTTAAAGCTCAAGCCCTCAGACTTTCTGTGAGATTTTGGGACTTACATTTTCTTGCTGTGTGTCAGTTTCTCCATCAGCAAGATGGGTGGACAGTCCTTCCCATGTCAGGTTGCTCTGAGGCTTTAAGTGACCTAACACCTGATATTGAGCTGGGACACAATACACACTGAAAACAGTGGCTGTTATTATTGCTCTTTGCCATCCTACCTTCTGGGGGTCATCACAGCTCTAAGGACACCCCCAGGGTAGCCTTGATCTTGGCAGCTCAAGAGGGTCAGCAGCAGCATTGCTTGCTAACCATTTCTGGTACCTGAAGTCTCTTTTGTGCTTGTAACTGAGCACCAGTTTCACTTGGAACAGCAATGAACTTCAGCAATGTCCTCACTGCTTTGTGAATGCCAGCAAAGCTTATCGCCTGATTGCTTCTTTTAGGACATCATAAACTCATTCTCAGAAAACAAGCAAATAGAGTTGTTAAAAGTCTGCATAGGTTGGGCGCAGTGGCTCACGCCGGTAATCTCAGCACTTGGGAGGCCAAGGCGGGCAGATCACCTGAGGTCAGGAGTTCGAGACTAGCCTGGCCAACATATTGAAACCCCGTCTCTACTAAAAAGACAAAAATTAGCTGGCCGTGGTGGCGGGTGCCTGTATTCCCAGCTACTCAGGAGGCTGAGGCAAGAGAATTGCTTGAACCCAGGAGCTGGAGGATGCAGTGAGCTGAGATCACGCCACTGCATTGCAACCTGGGAGACAGAGAGAGACTCCATCTTAAAAAAAAAAAAAGAAAAAGAAAAATAGAAAAAAAAAGTCTGCATACATCAGGTTCTATATGTCCTGGCTCTGTGGGAGTCCTCAGATGGGAGTGGGCCCATGCACCCAGGTGGGCTCTCTCCTAAGGCCACAGGCATACGTCATAAAGAAGACGTGCACATGAAAGGCTCAATACACGCATGCATCAGAGGAGCTTGGAGCACTGACCTTTGAGAGGCGACTCATTCTCTCTTCATTGTCTTCCAGAGTACGCAAGCTCGGAGGAATGTACCAGAAGCAGACATTTGTGTGCTGAGGCTACAAAGAGGAAAGGAAGATTCATATTTGGCCCAGGCTGGCAATTTTGAAAATTCTAAGAACATTTCAAATTGATGTATTCAGCAGGTTCAGAACACAATTCCCACTTTTCAATCAGGAATTGCCATTGGAGGGCATGATTTCGACAAAGTTCTATGGACTATTTGGTGAGTTTGGTCTTTATTCCAGCTCAGAATAGCTACCCCGTCATCCACTGCTCCCCTCTGTGACAGTCCCACTTACCTGGACAGCACATCATTTACATCATATCAGTGATGAGGGTTGGAATTGACTAAACTTTCTGGGATTGTAGAAATCCAAATACATACCTTCCCATCAAACACCATCTCATATCCTTCTCGGTTTTTTATGATGTTGTATAAATACTCTGCCAACTCCAAACATTTATCAACATGTGCTTCAAACCCGGTAGTCCCCTAGGTAAGAGAAGGACACAGCTCATTAGGCAGGCTAAGAGTGCGGAGGAAGTGATTTCCCTGGAGACTGATGGTCATCCTGCCGCCTCCATCTCAGCCTCGTCTGGCACTTTCCCGACACAGGGCTGTTTCCACAGGCTTTTTCAGCGCTGTTTTCTCTTTAATGCTCTCCCCGTCAGGTGCTTTTGTTCCCCTTCATTACTGCTTTCTACACGGGACTCCTTTTCTTCCAGAGCCTCCATTCCCCAGGCAATTAGTTTGACTACTCAAGGGGAAAATGTGCCTCTGCTATTCACAGGAGTAATCATGGAAGTCATTAATAACAGGAGGGCTGGGCTACTCTCTTCCTGCAGAGAAAAAGCATCACTGGAGACCCTCCAGAATGCCTGCTTAGTCCCCCTCCAATGTGTACATTTTCCATTCCCAGAGCCCATCTTTGTCTGCCAGTGTACCTGATACGGAACAAATTGGGTAGGTACTCATTGAATTCTTTGAACAAATGGATGCAGGAATTTTAGGGAGTACCCAGATGCTTTGTTAGCCGGTCAAGCTCTGTAGAGTTCTCCTTTGGGGGCAGATAAATGACTCATGTGTCTGTGATGAGTGAACATTATCACTGAGTTCTTTTAGTTTCTGGCTCTGGAAGCCCTGGATCCAGACTTAGGAAAACCAACACAACAGTCTTGGACTGGAGCTGTTTTAACTGACATCGGGACACACAAGAGAGTTACTTTTCAAAATAGCTTTCCTCTTATCTCCTTGGGTGTTTACTGGGTGCTGATGGAGAAATCTTAGAGAAAAAGCCAATGCTCATCTCAGAAGCACTTTGAACCTGCCTACCAGTAACTTCTCCAGCAGGGAACCTAGAGAAAGCAATTGTAATGGAGATGAGATGGGCCCACTTGCCTGTTTCATAGAAGATCACATCATCTCAGCTAAGGGCGCCCAACAGAGCCCAGAGACTTGTGACGTATGAAGCAGGTTTAAGAACAAGCTGCCCTGGAGAAATCAAATGGGTTCAGAAATTCACTTATTTGGAGACTGCTGCCCCGGCTGATCGGCTCAAGGAGGTTGATGGGTTCCTGATGCCTCCCCAGGAAGGGCTTGGGCTCACGCTTGATGCTTGGCCAGCACCCATACCAGGAGCTCTGTGCGTCTGTCAGTGCTAAGGAGATTATAATTGGTTTGGAATGACTTGACAGTTTGGGTTCACTTGGGATGGACTGTAAGTAGAAGGGACAGAAGCTGATTGCTATTCTCCAACCTGGATCCTTTGGACCATCTGGAGTTGGGTTTAAACTTTTGCATATCTGATCTTGGATATGGCATGACCTGTCTGACTCTGACCCTGTCCTGCTGAATGGCATTGGCTAATCTCTCTGATCAGATGGGAATGATGATGCCTCTCTGATTTCCCATGAAGAAGAGTTTGCCCTGCAACAGCAATGGGATTACTAAAGACCAGAGTGTGAGACCTCTGGTTCCCCTGGTCTGGGACCTTGCTATGGGGATGATGGGGGTCGTGTGATTGCCCCATTAGTTGGGGGCTAAAGACATACATGGGGAGTGACACGGAAAACTCTAGTGTGCCCTGGGTGCCTCCCGTTCATATTGAATATTTATGGGATTAAGATCCACATTTTATTTTCAAGGTTTTAGAGGCTTTTGAGAGATTCTTCAAAATTCTTTCATTCATTAAATACTTTCATCCATTAAATCACATGCCACGCAGCTCTTACTGTGAGAATGACAGAAGCACATGTCAAACTTTATCAGGGATCACGTCCCCTTAGCCTGAACCCCTGTGCAGGATGCTGAAGGCTCGGACAGGCACTCCTAAGTGAAAGGCTGGACCCCAGTGTCAAGATTCCACTGGGGGAGTTTCTGGAGAAAGACGGTTTTATTTAGCTCCTCCTGACTCACACGTGTAGAACTAGTTGAGATTGACCTGGCTGCAACACATACTCCATGAGGGCACAGGTTTATGTTTCTTTTGTTCACTGTTAAATCCTCCACATTCTGAGCAGTGCTGAGCGCATATTAGGTGCTCAATGTATATTTGTTGAATGAATAAGTGAATAACTTTGAAGCCTTTTACAAAGTATGTTCTGAGGAATGATCTATATCAGAACCGGATTATTTGTGTTAAAAATGTAGATTCTTAAGCCCCACCTCAGACTCCCAAACCAGAATTTTAGGAAGATGAACAATGTTTATGTGATCTTCTTCAGCAATCTCACCATCCAAGTATTCAGCTGCTGCCTCCATGTGGTCTTGGGGAGTGGGTCATGATCATTCTCTGCTTCCTGAAACGCTTTTATAAACATTCTCAGGCCCTAGAGACAGTGCTTTTGAAATAACTACTGAATCCCTTGCTGTTATCTCAATTTTTGCTGCTCCCACCCTAGTTCAGGCTCTGTTACTTCTCACCTGGAACGTAGCTCCCAAGTTGCCCTTCAGTCAATTAGACTCTCCCTTACTCTCATAATACGCACTGAACTCCTGCTCAACCACTCCTTGGAATGGCCTTCTCACAGCACTGCTGGGTGAAATCCTACTTTTTCTACCTATCCTGTTCAAGTCCCATCTCAAAGGCCATCTCTTTGCAATTCATCTCGATTCTTAAACTAGGAATGAGCTCTCCATCCTTTAAATTCCCCAGATGTATCTGGATTTCTTTTGTGATCAGTCCTAATCTGTCTTTTATGATGGACTTCTGTGCATTTGTCTTATCCTGTCTGGAAAATGAGAGCCTCTTTATTCCGTTCAGTATTAGACACGATAATAGATGCTGAATATCTACTTGTTAAAATAAATTTCATTTTAGACAGAAAGTAAACATTCTGTCATTTTCGGCAAAGGATGCCAGATGTCCATTTCCCTTTAATAAGTTTTTTCCTGGTGTTTTTTTTCCTCCAGCCATTTGCCAGTCCCTCTTTTTCCACATTTTTAATTAGCAAAGCTAATCATAAAAAACCCAAGGAAAACTGCTGATTTGTATGACTATATACAAACACAGAGATCTGCTATGAAACCTTGGTTGTTATAAATGAAGCCATTCCTGTAGGCCTAAAAAGGGAAAGTAGGAGAATTGCTTGAACCCGGGAGATGGAGGCTGCAGTGAGCTGAGATTGCACCACTGCATTCCAGCCTGGGCAACAGAGCGAGACTCCATCTCAAAAAAAAAAAAAAAAAAAAAAAAAAAAGTGTTGGGGAGATGTAATTTTAAGTTTATTTACTTACTTTTGTCAGCTACTGAGTTTTAGCCACTGTAGGAATCTGTCAACATTGGGAAGTAATCATTAGGTCCTAGGATTATTTAATAAAATGCAGACAAAATGAAAGGCCGACTCCGTAAGAAGAGAGTCGAGAGTAGGCACTGGGCCTCTGCTGATGATAAACATCCATATCTTAACCAGCTAGTATGCCTCTTAGCATCCTAAATCAGGGGTCTTAATTTTTGCATAAATTTGTTCTAATCAAGTTAATTTGGACTTAATATGATGGCTGTCATCAGTGCATTTAGCTCCATTAGTCATTAGCAGATTAGTTCAAATAATAATAATTTATACTTAGGCTATTTTTCATGGGGTTTTTCTTAGGAGAAAATGTGGAAAACACCGAATTCTCCAGGCAGGTCTGATCACAGAGGGCTTACTGAATTAATGCTATGTTCTTCCTCCTCCTCCTCCTTACTCTTATCCAGATTGTTTCCTCATTCCTGTGGGGAGGCAAGATTCAACATCATAGCCAACTCTTTCATGGCTCTTGTTGCGGGAAAAGGATGACTTCTTCCTTGGCCGGCATGGCTAGAGGGAGAGCTTTGATGTGAGAGTACAATTATCCTCACCTTTTATCTAGATTGTAGAACTAAGCTTATTACTTTAATAATGATTATCATTTCATTTGTCAAAAAAAATACAAAGGTTTAGATTGAAAACAAAGTGTAAGTTTTTGCCACTTAGATGTCTAGATATTTGAGGTATTTCCACAAAGAAGTAAAAGAATAAGTAATGCAGTGGCTGCGATTTCCTCTTTTTATCCCCTTCCCCAGTGACTTCATGGGGCCCTTCCCTTTATTTCCGGCTTCATCTGGTCCTGCTGTTCGATTCACACTTGATACCCTCCATGTTATTTCTCTAAGAACCTGGGCTGCCCCTGCTGGAGAGGAGGCTTCAGATGGAAAGGGAGCAGCAGAATCTGATGAACCGTGACAGAAACATTTTTGTGTAAATATTGCTGATGATCATTATCTTAATAAAAACACCACAGGGGAAAAAAGACACAAAGAATGATCCTTGAAGTAAGAGGGAACATGGCACAATATTCAGAAATCAAGGTTTTCTCAGCTTGCTACCTGATATTTACATTAATCATTTTGTAATCCCCACCAATCAATGAAATGAAAGACCTGCTCATTTTAAAGCAGCTTGGAGGTACATCAATACTTTACATTCTTGATTGCTTTGGGTTTTTCTTCCAAATGAAAGTGTCATTGCTAGCAGAATGAGTCTCCCATTGGGTGGCAGGGACCAGGTACCTGTCGTTGTTGGGCTGTCAATTTTCAAAAGAGGAAGGGGGCCCATCACTCCACCATTACCGGGCAACACTGTGGAGCTTCACTTCATGTAAAGCTCCTGATATTTAGCTTCTTGTAGCTGCCTGATATTTAGCAACATGTAAAAAACGTTCTGCTGGAGTAAACACCATTAAGCAGGCTTCCCTGAAGGACGTACAGTCCAGCCATCCCTGGAAACCACCCAAGAGTTACTTCTTCATTAAGCAAGACCATCTTTCTGTTTAAACTGCACCTTTTTGCCAGAATGGACTTAAAGGAGATTCCATAAAATACTTGTGGATTGCATTGCTTCACTCAAAAACTCCCTCTTTTTCTTGTTAAGAACCCCATCATCTAAGCTGCTTAAAGTAATTTAGGTTACTTTAAAAAAATTGTAAACAAAAGCACAAGGAATTCATTGCCGTGGACAAGGTTCCTACCTTTTTACACAGACTTGCAGAAGATCCCATTCACTGGTCTTACCCTGGTACGCTTCACTCCTGCTGACCAAGTTATTGGCATTTTCTTATGGGACTGAGCATGTTACTTCTTTAAGTAGGCTATTTACACACCGGAGAGCCAAATGTATATCCTCTCCACCAAACATAAAGGACCTCATGGTATCCCAGCTTTCCCTTGTGAACACCATTAGAATAAAAATGGAGTCACGAATGTTAAGAAAACCCTGATAGATAGAGCCAGGGAAAATCATGAAGAGAGGGTTCTCATGCCTTGTATACCGGATAACAAAAACTGTCACAGAAGACTGCAAAAATTATAACCTTGCTCAAAGGTCACCACCACCTTACACACACAAAAAAATACTTCTGCAAAGACATCTGCCTAGCAATTGCCTATCCAGCCTCGGACTGCATCACCCTTGTTATTGATCTTTGTAACCAAGGATATTTATCTCAAAACAATTATGTACTCTTCCACATTTCTTCCTTTAAAAACTTTTGTCTTCCTTTACCTCCTTTGAATTTGCATACAGTTTACTATGGTGTATGTATTCCCATTGTAATGCTTTATTTCCAAATCAACATCTTTTCCTTTAGAGAGACTCTGTTATTAAGGTTGACATCTTTAATTGCTCCCTTTCTCACTTTCTTATGTCAGGTTTCCTCGAATCCTCTTTTTGCATTTGAGTTTCTACAGTATATACAGCTAGCTCTGTCTATTTATCTCCTGCAGGAGATAAATGAAGCTGGCTGGGCAGGCACTAATTTGTGACCTTTAAGTTAAGAATCTGGTCAAAATTAAAAATAAAATCTTTGACCTATCCAGCCTGCTTACATTTAAACATAAACGTAGGCTCCTGGAAGGCTACAATTAGGTCCAAGCAAGTCCTGCACACTGTTAGTTAGTGAGTTTTCCTTGCTGAAAAAAGGAGGGATCACTACAGTTAAATTCAGAGGGACACACAGAACCTACATAAAAGGAGGTGAGTAGGTATTTCGGGAGATGAGGGGGAAAAAAGCTTTGTAACTAGAGGTTATCCCTTGAAATGTCAAAAAATAAGCTATCATGGTGGGCTTTTTACTTTTTCTTTTTTGTTCTCCAAACCTATGCTTTCAGATCGCATTCACCTACCCAGGTGATCAATCACTGGGTAAAAACCACGTTAGCAGACAAAAACCAACAACAATAACAATAAACACCTATTAAAATTCAAGCTGTTCTGCTATATAAAGCAAAATGGATTTGTTTTCTAGATGAGTGGGCATTTGAATCAATTTGGCTAGAAAAGAAACAAACAATGGTTTTGATTATATTTTTCCTCATGTTGAATGAAGGTATTTAGATGTTAAGTTTAAAGAAAGCAAGGTCGGGCGTGGTGGCTCACGCCTGTAATCCCAGCACTCTGGGAGGCCGAGGCAGGCGGATCATGACGTCAGGAGATCAAGACCATCTGGCTAACACGGTGAAACCCCATCTCTACTAAAAAATACGAAAAAAATATTAGCCAGGCATGGTGGCGGGCGCCTGTAGTCCCAGCTACTAGGGAGGCTGAGGCAGGAGAATGATGTGAACTCGGGAGGTGGAGCTCACAGTGAACCGAGATCGCACCACTGCACTCCAGCCTGGGTGACAGAGTGAGAGACTCCTCTCAAAAAAAAAAAAAGAAAAAGGAAATCTTGGGTAAGGAATTTCAATTTGGAAATCACTTTTTTGATATTTCATAATAGCGGTGATCAGATTAGTTGTCATTTAGCTGGTCCATACACACTCACCTTTGCCCTCCACATCAGCCATAGTTTGAAAACATCAACGTGGCGTCCACACTGTAAGGCCTTATCTCCAGTGTCATAGGACAGGTCATAATGTTTATCTTGCTGAAAGAGGTAGGAGGCATGCATTTGGTTGCAATTCTGCATCAATCCCTACAAAAGAGAAGAGAAAATTTAGGAAATTCTACTGACAACTCATTAGATTTATATTGGTAAAAATTAATAAGAAAAAAATAAAAGTAAGAGACATTGCATATCTTAGAGAAAGAAAACAAAACGAAAAAAAGAATTCTGGACAGGAGTGTCTAGGTTGTTGTAATGGTCAACTCTGTGGGACTATGGCTCGGGGTCAAATGTCATGGAGGTTAGCAAGGACATGTTTACACTTTTACTCTCCCTTTTAAGAGAAGGCATTTGTAAAAATCAACTGATAAATAAAAATCATAATCAGAGCACACATTTATATTTAAATGTTCTCTTTCTTTGGGAGAACATCCTACTATTCTGGTTTTGTTGTGATTAAAATATTTTGGAAACTCTTTGGTTTTGTGAAATATTATTGGTGTGGTTCTTCTAGTATTTCCATCCATATCTAGTTCAAGTACTTTATCATTTAGCTGTTAGGGAGTTTGAGCTGCCTTTGGAAATCATGACTTTTAAGACAGCTCATTGCTATCATGTTTATATGCTGAAATCTACAAAAAAAAAAAAAAAAAAAGCCCTACTAGAATTCATAACTGGGTTTAGCAAGATTGCAGAGTTCAAAATAAATATGCTATCATGTTTATATGCTGAAATCTACAAAAAAAAAAAAAAAAAAAGCCACACACACACATTGCAATTTTGAGACGAATTTAAATAACCAATCTTTCAAAAGTCATGTTCCTCTCTCAAGAACGGTCAGAGCTTCAGTGCTGTGTTCGCATGCTCAATTCCTTGAGATAGTTAAGTGGAAAGTCTCATCGTCAATGGCCATTCATTTGTCCTAGCACTGTAACCTTACTATGGAAATGGGCGGCAAAGTGATTGAATTATTCCATAGAATAGTGACTGAATCATGTTTTCCGACTAAAATAGTATCGCCAGTCTCTTCACTAAAAACCCCGTGTTTCAATTTGTCACGAACCACTGGATGCCTCTGACTATTTTGTTCTCTTCTAATTGTGATTTCACAAAAGCTTTGGCATTTGGTTTTGTTTCTTTTGTGATTCATGACAAAAGAAGACAAGACTAAAGTGTGATCACTTAGTTGAAGTTAGAAGTGAGAACACTTCTGAAAACTGTCCACACTAAAACACAATGCAATGCAATTACAGTTTTAATTTGGTTTTGAAAGACGGAGTGTTGAAATGGTAGACGACAGAACTGGACTCTACCTTGTAGTTTAGGCTTCACATATATTGGAATCCATTCATTATTTTTCAGAATAAGAAAAATTAAATACGATGCATTTGTATTAGATCAGTAGAAATATACTGAACTCGAAAAAGAAAATTCACTTGAAGACCAATAACGTGAAAATTTGCAACACTTGCTTTTATTTGGTTTCATGGTCACAGAAACTTTGTACCATTATTCCTCTGGCCATGCACGCTCACACACTGGCGCCATCAATACTAAGGAAGACCACTTCAGGGAGTGTGGAATGCTGAAAGGATCAGACCTACTCCTACTGTGATAGAAAAAAATAACTCAAAAACACGTGAGCCCTAAAAAAGCTGGACGGCCGGGCATGGTGGCTCACGCCTGTAATTCCAACACTTTGGGAGGCAGAGGCAGGCGGATCACGGGATCAGGAAATCAAGACCATCCTGGCTAACACAGTGAAACCCTGTCTCTATTAAAAATACAAAAGATTAGCCGGGCCTGGTGGTGGGCACCTGTAGCTCCAGCTACTTGGGAGGCTGAGGCAGGAGAATGGCGCGAACCCGGGAGGTGGAGGTTGCGGTGAGCTGGGATCACATCACTGCACTTTAGCCTGGGTGGCA